AACAAAGCAGAATACAACCTAATTAAATGTATTTATTTATTTATTTTATTTATTTTATTTATTTTATTTATTTTATTTTATTTATTTTTATATAGAACGATATTTCGATACCCAAAGATGGCTCTGGCTGTGGGCCCCACCGAATGCCAGTTTATGGAGGACCGCTATAAGGTGTTTAAAGAAGTTTTTACTTCACTGCAGCTCATCAACAAAGAACAAGTAGGGTTTTATTTATTTATTTATTTGTTTATTTATTTATTTATTTGTTTATTTATATGTTTGTTTGTTTTTTTTTTGTTTTTTTTTGTTTTTGTTGCTGTTTTTTTTCTGTTTTTTTTGCTGTTTTTGAGCCCTATAAAGTCCTTATAAAGTGTTTACCTCACTGCAGCTCATCAACAAAGAACAAGTAGGAGTTTATTTATTTGTTTATTTATTTATTTATTTATTTATTTATTTGTTTGTTTGTTTTTTTTGTTTTTTTTTTGTTTTTGTTGCTGTTTTTGAGCCCTATAAAGTCCTTATAAAGTGTTTACAGCTCATCAACAAAGAACAAGTGGGAGTTTATTTTTTATTTATTTTTTTACTTTATTTTATTTATTTTATTTATTTTATTTATTTTATTTATTTTATTTATTTTATTTATTTTATTTATTTATTTTATTTATTTTATTTATTTTATTTATTTTATTTATTTATTTATTTTATTTATTTATTATTTTGTTTGTTTGTTTTTATTTCTTATTCTTTTTGTTATTATTACTCTTTGTTGTTTTTGTTTTTCCTTCTGTCTCCTTCTGTCTCCTTTTGTCTCCTTTTGTCTCCTTCTGTCTCTTTCTGTCTCCTTCTGTCTCCTTTTGTCTCTTCTTTTGTCTCTCTTTTTGTCTCCTTTTATTTTAATTTGTGTTTTTCTTTCTTTTTGTTTCTTTTTATTTCCTTAATCCCCTTTCCCTTCCTTAATATATTTCTCTCCTTTATCTCTCCTTTTTCTCTCTTCTTTCGTCTCTATTTTTTTATTTTTTCTCTTATTTTGTTTCTTTTTTTTTGCTTTATATGTTTAAATACCTTTCTGTTTATTTTATTATTTATAGATATGCGAGGTAGAGCCGAGAGTAGGCTACAAATCAGTAAACTTCCCGAGAAATGATGAAGTTTGTGGGGTGTATGTACACAACGAATACAGCGGGGTCAACTACATACACCTCGCCAATGCCTTCGCTCAGGCAGCTGCAACAAACGCAGCACAAAAAGTAAATTAAATTAATATTTATTTATTTATTTATTTTATTTTATTTTTATTTGTTTTTATTTTTTTTTGGTTTATTATATTTCTTTTTTATATACGTAGATACGTGTACTTTTGTATTCTTGTTTATGATGAATTTGTTCCTTTTTGTTGAGGGCTTTACTTTGTTTCTTTTTTTTGTTTTTTTTTGTTTTTATTTATTTATTTATTTATTTGTTTATTTATTTGTTTATTTATTTGTTTGTTTGTTTGTTTGTTTGTCTCTTCTCTGTCTTTGTTTTCTTTTTTGTTTTTGCCTCCTTCGTCTTCATTTATTTGTTTGTTGTTTTATTTCTTTATTTATTTTTTTATTTATTTGTTTCTTTATTTGTTTATTTATTTATTTATTTATATAAATAAATAAACAAGTAAATTTGTTTATTTATTTGTTTATTTGTTTATTTGTTTTCTTTCTCTTCTCCGTCTGTGTATTTGTTTCTTGTTTGTCTCTTCTCAATAAATAAATAAATAAATAAATAAATAACTAAACTTATTTGTTTCTTTTTCTTTTTTATTTTTTTGTGTATGCTGGGGTGTATACACAGGAGCTGTCTATACAGCTCAACACATCAGTATTAGATATAAAGAGAGAAGCAGATGATTTGTTTTCTATAATAACAGACAAAGGCACCCAAAAGGTAAATAAAAAAAAAAAAAAAAAAAAAAAAAAAAAAAAAAAAAAAAAAAAAAAAAAAAAAAAAAAAAAAA